TGATTAAATTTTGGCCCCACCTCAATGCAAATGCTAGATCCGCCCCTGTTTAGAGTCCTCTCGTCCTATTCCAAACATACATTGCCTTTATATAAATTAGCACCACTTTACCCTAAAAATTGTCAAAATAAATCAACATTCTAATGAAAAAAAACTTAATTAGCTAATAAACTCAGATTTTTTTATTCAAGTAATATATTCTAAAATCTCCATTAATTAAATATTTAGTTAAGTTTAAACCTTTTCATATGGATCGGAAAATTAAGATTCAATATGCATGTTTATATTGAGGCTCCTCAAATCTGAAAGATATAGGAGAAGGGGATGAGAGGTTCCATAGAGCAGATGTGATGATACGTTATATGTATGTGAGACATATATAGCCAGTATGTTGCTAATATGTTATAAACACATGTGGAAGAAATCACTAAATAAAAAATTTGAGTTTAATTAGGAAAACAACCAATGTTTATTTAGGGCATGATACTTTATTTGTGAGGGAGTTTTTTCCACTTTTAGTCCTCCGATTATTATGTCATTGACATTTTTTGTACTCGACTTTGATTTTTTTCATTTTTAGTCCTTGACTATTACGCTAGAGACACTTTTGGTACCCGTCTTTGAAAATTTCCAAATTTAGTCCTTCAACTTTCATAAAAGTGACACTTTTGGTCCTTCAACTATTATAATAGTGATTTTTTTAGTCCTCCACTTATTGTGTCAAAATCATAATGGGAGGACTAAAAGTGTCAATTTGACAATACTCAGGGACTAAATGTGGGAAACCTTGAAGTCGGGGACTAAAAGTGTCTCTAGCACAATAGTCAAGGGCAAAAAATGGAACAATTAAAAGTCGAGTACCAAAAGTGTCGTTGACATAATAGTCGAGGGACCAAAAATGGCAAAAACTCCTTTGTGAGGTATGACAATCAATGGGAAAATACAAAAATTGATTGTAGCTTGCAGTGGAATGTTAACACGTGAGAGAAAATGAAAAATGAAATACAGAGTATGTATGAAACACTCTGAAATTGTATTTTCTATTTAGAGTCCTCTCATCCTATTCCAAACATACACTATTATGTTTAGTGCAGAAAGATCAATTCTGACCTCTGGCAGGTGATTAAATAGTCTAGACATATCTTCTACCTGGTGCTTTGATTTCCAAATTTATGTGGTTAGGGAACAATAAGCATGTACTATATTTAGGGATGGCAATGGGGCGGGGTTGGGGCGGGGGTTCACTCCCCCATCCCCGCCCCGTGTCTAAAAAATCGCCCCCACCCCCCGCCCCATCCCCCACTACTATTCGACCCACCCCATCCCCCGCCCCGACCCGCTAGACCCACGGGTACCCAACGGGAGAAGTACTCGTCAAAAATTAACATCATTTTAGAGTGACAATTTTTCAAAAATTAAACAACACTTCTAGTAGCCAATTTTTTTTTTACTTTTTAAGTGTCAATGTAATCTTACATCCCATTTCAAATCTAGAACACATTATACGCGTTCTAATTTAGCCATTTTTATCAAACTCTAAATTAACATTGATTGGCTCTACAATATTTTCTTAAACCCTGCATTCAATCAATCATGGTCATTTGACGGCATCTAGGACGACCTATGACCACCAAATTTTAATAGCCCTAACTACAATCATAAAGATGACATTCAAAAGAAAAGAATTAATGCATTGTAATAGTAAAGGAAAAAAACTTTCACACCGTGCCTGGGGCGTTTAAGCCAATATCACTTTATAACTTTCCCAAATTCATTTTACTTTATCTCTAAAAAAATCATTTTACTTTATGAGTTTGATAAGCAATTTTACAAGATAGCTTAGTTATTAAACAAGAATTAGATAGACCCATTAGGCACAATCCATTAGATAGGAAACCACTAAACCCACCAGGCCACCATGCTATTTTAATTACTTCGTATTAGTATTACTATTATTATTAGTATTATTATTGAGATTATTATTATTAATTATTACGGGGGACGGGGCGGGGACGGTGCGGGGGGTGCATAACCCATCACCCGCCCCATATTTATGCGGGGAGAAAATATCTCCCCCACCCCACCACCCGCCCCACCCCACCACCCGCCCCAACTCCACCCCACGGGGCGGTTCCCCACGGGCCCCCGCCCCCATTGCCATCCTTAACTATATTCTAAAGCCTAAAGAATTAGGCATCATAGTTAGATATTCTTGATTGAGGAATTATAACAAAATATTGATCAAAATAAATTCTCAAATTTCCAAACCAATATATGCATAAGTGGCAGAAATTATTTCATTTACGGCTATATAAAGATTTGACATAAGTTACAATGAAAAAATGATGAATTAATTAATAATAGATTATTCATAATTTTGAAAAAAAAAGTAGTCACATTTTTGTATTTCACAAAGCTATATGTAATATTGGTGTCTTTATTTCTTTTATTATTATTATTATTACTATTATCATCATCATCATTGTTGTTGTTGCACTATTTTTTTATTATATTGTAATTGTGGATATGTTCATTTAGTTTCTTATAATTGTACTATTTTTACAACTATACTCATATTACTTCAATTGTGGTCTCTCTAGGTAAATTGACAAAGAATTGTTTTTTTTTTTTAATAAATCACTTGCTCAAATTAATTCAAACAATCGTTAGCCAAATGACTTAAAATACAACAGAATTAAAAAGTATGAACTCATCCACCATTGACAAAGAATTGTTATGAAACGATTTCTATACACCGATCCCTTAAGGCATTCATAGTACGGATGTTTTTACTTGGACTGTAATTTGCTGGTCTGGTCTGGTCTGGTCTGATCTGGTCTGGTCTGGTCTGAACTGGTCTGGTCTGGTCTGGTCTGGTAAGGTCTGGTTTCTTTGTATTTTTATAACTATCCAAGTCTGGTCTGGTCTGGTCTGGTCTGGTCTGAACTGTCTGGTCTGGTCTGGACTGGTCTGGTCTGGTCTGGTCTGGGGCAAATTACAGTCCAAGTAAAAACATCCTACGTCGAATAACTCAATTTCTCCGTCAGAAGGTCTCAATCGTAACATTGAAAACATTGTTAAAATGTCTCAAATAGAAGTTAAATTGTGGGATGATGACATTCTTGGTGTCCTTGTTTTTTTGGACAATTCTTTCTAATCATGTAGTATCTACTCAATGTTAATGTCAACATCCTTGAACTGAGATGAAATTCGAACATGTGACCTCCTCCTTGGGAGTGTCCTTTAATTGTGTAAAGCGAGTGAAAGTTATGATTTTTCAGTGTTAGAATGCAAGTTATTATGGGAATAGAAAAAATTGGAGACCTTATTTGACAAAGGGCCAGTGGGTTAAATATTGTTACTTTATTGATTGATGCTTTATACTTCATCCGTCCCGTTAGAAGGTTCTCACTTTCTTTTTTTGGACGTCCTATTAGAAGGTTCTCATTTCCATTTTAGGTAACAATTAAAAATCTTAAGTGACAAATTAATCATTAAATATTAAAAATAATACATTTATAACATCACAATTATCAATTCTAACTACATTATAATATATACTTATTAAAATTATTTTTCAAAATATACCCGAAGTACTTTATTTAATTATCACCTAAATAATTGTGCCGTTTTGCTATGAGAACCTTCAAACGGGATGGAGGAGGTAATATGATTTATATTTTATATGTTAATAATGTGTCACTTGAGAGTTGAGATACTCTCGTTGGTTCCGCCACTAATTTATCCGCCACTAGAAAAACAAAATTTCTTACAACTTTGAGCTTATCCGGCTTTGCCCATCCCAGTATACTTTAATTTTGGCTTAGCTTTGAAGTTTTTGTACCAAAAAAATTGAGATCTCCTATCCAAAATTCAGATCATACCTTTGGCTAACTTAATGTGCGGACGAGCTAAGCATGATGATTTAGAGAGCCCAATTTGGTGATTTATTTTTCACTTTATGACACTTATCAATCAATTTTTTTATCAAACAAGTAATTTTTTATTTCGCGTTTTGACTTGTGTAATACATAAGAAAAAATAAGGTTGATGTTACTTTTCTAACTGTATCGGCTGAAATTACCGTAGATGATCATTTTAAATATTTTGAATGTAATGTTTTTTAATTAATAAATTTTATTTTAGATATTTCTTTCATAAATCAGTAGAATCAGTCAATGTAACCAATGCAACCACAAATTCATATATTTCAAAAGAATCAGCTCATTTTGCCGTGTTATCAAATGAGTTATAATCTGAGCCCGTTTGGTAGCACCAAAATCGGCTGTTTTGGCTGATTCTGCTGAAATTTATGATATTCTGGCTGGAGTGGCTGTTTTGGCTGATTCTGCTGATTTAAGAAAAAAATATTTTAAAAATATATTTTATTAATAAATTAAAGAAAAAATTATATGTAAAAATAGCTAAAATGGTCCTCTACAGTAACTTCAGCCAATACAGCCAGAAAAGTAACTTCAACCTTACTTTTTTGGCTTATTACACAATTCAGCGCGCGAAAGTAAAAGTTACGTGTTTGGTGAAAAAGCTGGCTGATAAGCCTGATAAACCGAAAACAGAGTTCTCCAAACGGGCTCTCTATTCTAGAGGCCAATTGTTTAATACGGAGTAGGTAATTACCACACGGTTCAATTTTGAATCATTGTATGTTTTTTATTGAATTGGATGAATTACTTTTTGGTAAAAGGTAACACTTATAAAATTAATACGTTCAACTTTATGACCACAAATTCTTTTAATATAAGGATGTTTTTACTTGGACTGTGATTTGTCTCAGACCAGACTAGACTAGACCAGACTAGATCAGACCAAACCAGACCAGCAAATTACCGTTCAAGTAAAAACATCCTAAATAAATTTTAAAGCTGTAAATACTTTACTAAATTCAATAAATTAGTATATCAAGCGCTAATTTCAGAAATCTAACATAGAATCCACCATCTCTAAAAGCTTTGTTTTATTTTTAAAATTTTCATTGTCGTGTTCCCACTATGAGTAACCCAAAGAGAGAGGAAAAGAGATTCATTCAATACAATCCGTCTTTGGGGGTACCCACCACTTCTTCAAATCCTTTCCTCCAAATAATCAGACATGGCCGGAAACAACCCAACAGAAACCAAAGCCCTTCAAATTCTCTCCCCCACCTCCCAAAATATAGACCATCAAGATGGAGAGCCAGAGGGGCAAAACGGGAATAACACCAACAACCAGCAGCTTGTTCATGTGGCTCCCAAGAGAAGCTCCAACAAAGACCGGCATAAAAAGGTCGACGGCCGAGGCCGGAGGGTCCGGATGCCGGCTCTCTGCGCCGCCCGGATTTTCCAGCTAACCCGAGAATTGGGCCACAAGACCGACGGAGAGACCGTCCAGTGGCTGCTCCAGCAATCGGAACCGGCGATCATCGCCGCCACGGGCACCGGGACCATCCCGGCCTCTGCTATGTCCTCTGCCGCCGGCGAGGCCTCTGTTTCTGAGCAGGGTAACTCTGTTTCCGCCGGCCACATGACCGACTTCTCCGCTGGGATCCGAAACCACTGGGTAAACCCGGCCGCAGCCTGGCAGTCCATACCCGGGTACAACCCCGGGTTCCCTGGAAACCAAATCCTGAGCTCGTTAACCAAGTTCGGTTTTCAGGGATTCCCCGAGTTTCAGAATCTGGGCAGCTTCGGGACCCATCACCTGCCCGGATTAGAGCTCGGGTTGTCCCAGGAAGGAAGGATCGGGGGCGGGAACTTCCAAACGTTGACGCAATCTTATCCGCAGCAACAGATTGGGCAGACCGGGAACGATCCGATGAATCATCACCATCAAGTCCAACAACAACCCGGACCCGCAAGAGTCGATTCGCCGGGTAACGGACAGTAGGAGATGTTTGGAGTTCTTTTTTGTCTTTCTCTATTTATTTCTTCGCGTGGATTGGTGTTTATAGGATAAGAATAAGAAACCGTCAATTTCGATGATGGTCCAAGTTGGATAGTCTTCAAGAGGTAAATTTTCTGCTCATCTTTATCTGGTTTGATGATGGCAACGAATAGATATTTCCTAAATTAGTGGCAAAGTATATAGGATGAATGGAGATTTGTATGGGTTTGGACCAAATTTTGTTTGAATTTGAGTGTTAAGTATATAATGTGTGTGTAATTAAACATGGATAAATAGCAGCTGGCAGGGGTTTAGGTTTTTGTTTTCAGTGATTAAGCCTGAGATTTCCCATTTGGGAAATAATACGAGTAGAATTGATGATAGGTTGGAATACTTGGATCTAAGTTCAGATTGAGCTGTTGATTCCCATTATTTAGTGATGCGCCCTATTAAATTAATCATTCCCTAAATGAGTTGATGATTGATGAATCACGTGTTCATCCAACTTTGATCCACTAGATCCTTGCATAATTTTAGCAATTTCATTTTTTGACCATTTTGATATTTTCATATTATCAACGGAATTTCTATAATCCCCTCAAATTACTGTACTTAGACTATGTGGACCAAATTAAAATATTGTAACTGAATAGTTTAAATATAAATAGATGACGAAATGATGAATTGGATAAATGAAATGAATATAAAAGTCTATTTTCCTACTTTTTTAAAAGAACATGCAAACTATATTATACACGAAAGTGAGATTGACAATAGTACACCTTCTCTAAATGTCTCAATTTAGAGTCTTACTTTCCTTTTTCGGTTCCCTCAAAATAAGTGTCTTTTTTCCCCTTTTTAGAAAGGAATATGTGGTCTACGCGTTTCACTTTATTATATTCAAACTTTAATCACAATTTTTACTTTTTCAATCATTTTATTAATATTCATGTCAAGTCAAAGTGAAACACGTAAAATAGAAATGGAACAAAGCTAGTACCTTACACTTAGGGTTGTAAATGAATCAAATAATTTGTGTTCGATTCGCGATTCGAATTCGTATAGGATGATTCAAATTCGGAAAATTCAAATACAAATACAAATAAGAATATTAAATTTGATTCGAGTTGTTATCAAATACAAATAAGAATATCAGTGTATTCGATTCGAATATTAATCAAATATATTCGATTAATAATAGTGGTAATATTAATATCAATATTATTAATAATAATAATAGTAATAACACTATAATAACTTTTAAAAATAGCAATACCCTCAAAGTGTGTCCCATATAAACATTTTTGCATATAGATTCCAAGCCCATATGTAATAACCAAGAATATAAATACGAATACAAAACAATTTTTTGATTCAAATGTCTTTCAAATACAATACAAATAATTATGTATTTGATTTGAAGAATGAAATTAGAGTTGGTTGACTTTGATATATATAATTATCAACTTATTTTACACATTATAAGTATAATTATTAATTTCTAATATGTGTGTATTAGTGTTTATTCCAAAAGGTTTGAAGTAGATTTATATTTATTAATCATCATGAAATTATATTAATTCATTTTAGTATATTGTGAACCATCTAAAAATGCATTGATTCATTAAATTTAAAATCTAAATACACATATTATGTCATAGCATGCATTTACAACATAAAAAATACGGAGTATAAAAAATTATTCTAAAGTGATATTTGACTAATAATATTTAACATATGCTCAAATCGATTCGATATCCGTATATGATTCGTTAACTATTCGTATTGTTAAACAAATACAAATACAAATCGAAATTAATGTTCGTTTCATATTTGAATTCGAATTCGTATTCGAAAAAATTAAACAAATACAAATACAAAATCTCATTATTCGACTCGATTCGATTCGTATACAACCCTACTTACACTATTATTTAAACGTCACAACTCTTGTAATTTGTTACCACCATATTTCTACAACTCTACATCTTTTTTTTTGCTACATTGTGCTTTGGATAGTGTGATTAGTGTCGATTTGTTATTGTTAGTAGGGAGTATTGATTGGGGCTTTTACTGCTATCTTATACTTCCTTTGTTCCGAATTATAAGATATTTTTCTGCTTACGATGTTTGACCGATGATAAAGCAAACGGATCCCTGTCTGCACTGAAACTATTTTTAGAAAAAAAATATTACATATTCAGAAACTACATTAAAAACGCTACAAAACCTACAAAAAAAAATAATAATTCATATTTCATACTTTTCGGTCTTTCTATTTTCACTATCATAAAATTTGGAGTATTATTTAGGGCAACGCTATATGTAACAGCATTTAATTTTTAGCAGTTATCAAAATCAGGTTGCCATCTTGTAGTCCGAGTCGTCTCATACATCCTTTTTAAATTTGTCTAAAACTTGTTTCTCTTTCATCGGCATTATAGAAACAAGACATTTATCAGATCAGACCAAACAAGATCAATTCATACTAGATCAGATCAGATCAACAAGACATTTATCAAACCAGACCAGACAAATTCAATTCATACTAGATCAGATCAGATCAGACTAACAAAATTCAGTCCAAGTAAAAACATTCTTAAATCACATTCTTATTTTTCACTATTCTATGTTACTATAAGTTATATAGATTAAATTTATAAATATGGCACCTGGCATAAAATCAATCATGATTTTAATCATTTTATCCTATAGAAGGTAATACTAACATACTTTAGATTTATTTTAGGGGAAGTTCCCGAAATAGGACTAAAATAGTTTGAAAATTCCAAAATATATAGGACTGTCATGTTTGCTATTCCAAAATAGAAGTAATTATTGGTAAGTTTGGAAATTACTGCAATGTTTTAAGCCTGATACTGCCAAAACATGACAATAATTAGTCCTATTTTGGGAATAAAAACATGACAGTCCTATTTTGGAATTTTCAAGCCTTTTTAGTCCTATTTCGGGTAATATTCCCTTTATTTTATAGGTTAAGGGGTGTTTGGAAAATGGTTTTTCAGGAAAAAATGACGGTTTGGTCTCTTTTAGCGTTTTCAATAAATGAAAACGTTGTTTGATAAATAGTTGTTCAGCCCTAATGTTTTTGGACGGAATCCCCAAAATGGAAACGCTGCAAATAGTAGAGTTTTGGATTGGCATTTTCAGAAATACTACGTGACATTTTCTACTAATTGTTATGGTCAAACAACTAAATTGCCGAACATCTTCTTACAACCAGCCAACTTATTCTGCCGAACATCTTGAATCCATTATTGATAACCCACTAACCTAACTCGTTATCTGTTAATTGATAATCGCTAAATGTTAAACACACCCTAAATTTTATGCCCAACTCTCTTATATATTTAACAAGTTTGACTAGCACAAATCAATTTCTTAAAATTGCAGTAGTAAAGTTTTTCCGACATTAAGTACGTGACAAAATCAATATATATATATATATATATAAGAGGAACTTTTCAAGAGTATACAGAGAGCCACATAATCCTGACATGTCATCATATATAACAAACACGTAATTACTTTCTATACCTTTTATTTTCTACGGAGTATTACGTTTTGTATATTCATCTTATTTGGTAACTTTATCAACTTCAAAATCAGATTTTAATTTAAGAATTTAGAAACAAAAACCTACGTACGCAAGGATGATAGTAGCATCACTAGGCTATATTTCCATATTTAAGTTTAAACAATAACTTTAAACAATAATGATGTCCGTAGCATAATAGGCTAGATTTTAATCAATGTGTATTAACTTCAAACTTCTTTTTCTACTCCGTATTAGTTTAGACAACTTTTTTTTGAAAGGATTAGTTTAGATAACTTATAATTGTGCAATTGAGAAAAGATTTTAAAATTTTAAAAACTACACTTTTAACCATTTTCAATGTGACAAAATAATGAGTAAAAGCATTTGAATTTGTCACTTTTAAAATTAAAAAATAATTAGGCATATCATTCAGACAGAACTTAATCAATTTAAGCATATCCATAATCAGTCAATTCGACCAATTTTATTGTTATCAAACGGGCTCTATATTATATTGAAGGGTTGTTTACTCTTAATCTATCAAGTACTGTCTTAATCAAGACGTCTGTGTAGGTTAAGATGTATATCAGGATAAAATGATATTTGTATATGAAGTTGTTTATTTTGTATGGTGAATAAACGGTCTGAATCAAGTCAAATAATCAATTTAGTATTGTTCTTAGATAATAGTGTCAATGAAAAACTTCATTTATTAATATAAATTTATTCCACAACCAAATTAAAAAAATCATATTTAAAATTAGCTAAATTACGTGTTGCTCGTGCATCGCACGGGCTTGAAAACTAGTTATGTAATAAATAGATACCGATATAAGTCTTGAGTTTTTTATCATTTGACTTTTTAAAATGGAATACTAAATTAATTTTATCCAAAAATCCTAAATCCCCCATTTGGGGCTTCTTAGGCAAATATTGAGTCAAATATTATCTCTCGCAATTGATTTTGTTAATTTTCTTTTTTTATTTGTCTGACAAATTATGACAATTTCTTTTAAAGTAATAAATTTATTGAGTTTTTTACAAAAATATTACTAAAATAAAACATTTACATAAATATGACTATTAGTTACTACAATATACTCCGTAGTGTTATAGTAACTTACGTTTAAAAATTGAACATAAGTTACTATGATTTCATTACTACTTTAATCATTAATTACATTTTTGTAAACAGGCTTGATTTTCGTCATAGCTATGTAATTATTTCTTAATTTATTTATCTTTCATCTACTGAAATTTCAAACACACGTATTTACTTTTCTTATATCACTCTTAATAGAAAGTTGATAATGTTCAATCGGACAGAACAAATAGTTCTATCAATCATTAAATAGTGTGAATTTAAAACATTGAGTTAAAGGAAACCCCATATTTAGGGGTAAATATAGCACATAACTTTAACTAGGGGTGGGCTCGGTGCGCCGGTCCGGACCTGCTTGAAACCGTGCCTGATTTTGTTTGGCCGATCTCGAGTACCCATTTTAGTTGGGTCTTAGTCTGAAATTGGGACCCAAATCCACCTTAAGCGTGCTGCATACATAAATAAATTGTTTTGTTTGTACACGCTCCTAATTATCTATGTAGACAGATAACTGTATGTATGGGTATAAACTATGCGTACAACCAACTTTTTCCCGCATAATACTGCCCATTCAAACAAATACTCCCTCCGTCCCAGGGAGAAGTTCCCACTTTCCTTTTTTGACAGTCCCAACAAAAAGTTATCATTTCCCTAAATGGAAAGTTATCCTACATCAAAAAAGTGTCAAATAGTGCAAAACAGTGCCAAACAGTGTCGAAACAGCGCCAAACAGTGTCGAAACAGTGCCAAACAGTAAAATTTACCTCTCAATAACTTTATTTCCTTAATATGTATGAAAGTCAAC